ACTATTTTGACTACCATGCTCCCTCTCTCCTCATCATTATTACAACTAATAAGTACTTATGTCTGGTATAGTGTGAACCATGGTTAGGTCATAGAAGCTGCTGGCTCTGTGTGCAATCTATCATGTGAAGTCATTTCCCAGATAAATATTGAAATAATGGTGGGAAAAGGGAAAAGAATTAGCCAAAAAAGGCAGTCAGCTGACAAACATGGGGGGTTTTTTGACTCTTCATAGGTCAGAGGGTCAGAACTGCTCCCCTAAAAAACCCCAAACAACAAACAATGGAAAAGCAGCTGAACAAGGAAGAATGTTTTCGGTTGTTTGTTGGCACATGTGTCAAATTCCACATGGAACCATTCCAGACCCACCCTCAGGCGTGACTCAGGGACAGTGGCTGGCTTTGCTCAATCAGTGGCTTCCTGCACAACACAGGAATCAGATACTTATAAAAATAAGGCTTTAATTGTTCTAATTGCTTAAACAATGAGTTATCAAGTGCTTAGTGCAGATTGTAATGTAGGAGAACTGGAGAAATCAAATTAACAGGTGCTGGGAAGTTCAGATGCTGTTCCCAAAACACAACAGGAGCAGAAGCTCTTAATTCTGTACCCATAGGATTGGGATTTATGTGACATGTTGCTTCAGAACAATAAGGATGGAAGAAAGTGTAGTGGAGTTTAGATGGCTGTCCTGTGAAGTTCTAGATCTCAGACTAAGCTGTCCATGTGTCTGTCTGGTAACAGAGTAAGAGCTGATAAAATTCTAGGAGCTGCAAAAAAACAGTTTTTATTTTAAACCCAGTTGATTTTAATAAGGAGAGATCAGGAAGCCCCTCTACTGAAGGATAAGAAAAAAATGTACTGAAAGAAGAATATACAGAGAATCTGAAACAAATTCTACTAGTAAAGTCTATTTGGATGAGGTTTCTAATGCTGGAATCATTTAAAGTGGGATGGGAATCAGCACCTGGAGAAGGGCAAAAGGAATCATCTTGGTTTTGCTAGAGAGACACTGCCTAGGCCAGCTCTTCTCAGCTGCTCTTGCCCCCATTTTCTGATGCTAAAGCACATCATCTTCCGGGTGAAGACAAAAAAACTGTCCCCAAACTCTATTTATTCTTTGTTGAGCTTGTGGGGAGATCCAGAGCGACTTTTTTTTGCACCAGTGACAACAGTTCTGCAAACTATGACAAGAAGGGCAGGGATCAGGTGGCAATGTGGGGGAAAAAGGTTCAGCCTCTCCATGACAAGGCACTTTCTATAGCACAGGTGAACTGAGCAATCCCTGGACATCTGGGAATTTGGCATATTTTTCTCACCACCAGTCCCAAAAGGTGGGGCAGCCCTGTAAAAGCTCCTTCACACTCCAGCCACAGACATCTTCTCTTAATTAAAGTTAAACCCATGTGTGCCAAAGTAACCTTCTCTACAAACCTGGCACTGCAAAGTACTTTGTCTTGCAGATAAGACTGTTTCTCCTAAGGATCCTGGTCCCAAAGGATCCTCATTCCAGGAGCAAAGCCAGTGGCTGCCTCCCTGAGACTGTTCCTGACACAGCAGCTGGACAGAGCCAGGCTGGAACTGCACCCACGGGGTCACTGCACATCTCACAGGTAAGAACAGGTGCCTGGAGATAACAAGGCATCACATCTTATTACCAATTCCCTGGGAAAGCCAACATCCCTCTCTCTTTCCTCTCCAAAGGATGCTTTATTATAATTACATATCACTTTATTAGGCAGCTGAAGCAAAGAGCACATTTGATGCTAATGAAGTGCTGCTGTGGTTGAGTCTGTCACTATTTTTGGCCCTGCACATCTCCAGCACTTCTGATTGGGTGAGGGAGGCTTTGGATGGCTCTGGCTTCTTCTGTGGGGGCTGCACAGGGAAAAGCAATGACTCAGCGAGCCAGGACTGCAGAACTGTTTGCATGCTCGGAATGAGAATGGCTGTGGGACGGGCAGAGCACACACAAAGGCTCTTTATGTGGGGCAAGGATTTGCCAGGTAGTGGACAGTGAAAAATCCTTCGGAATGTTCACTTTGTTTCTGTGTCTGTCACCTGTACAGTATTTGTTTTTCTTGTTTTCCATCTGTCACCCTGGAGCAGCTCAGGAATAAAGCAGATTTCAAAGCACTCAAGGAAAATATTTTAGAGAGAGACACATCACAGCTGTCCAGTGGCTGCCTTTCCTTATGGAAGATGAAGGTTGTGCTGTCTCCAAGCCCAAGGAGCTGCTCAGCCCCGGAAAGGCAGGATTTGGTGTTCCAATTTTCCATCAGGCCTGCTCCCACATCCCTGTGTGACACCAGCATCCAGCTGGGCCCTGTGACTCAGTCCAGGGATTGACAGCAGCACAGAGATATCCCTCCCTCCCTCCCTGCCCACCTTGCAGGGTGTGTTCCTGGTCACCACAGGGGTGACAGGACCAAGGTGAGGGCAGCACGTGAGGCCATTGCTCCATACCAGGATCCTATTTCCAAACCTCTTCCTGACAGCACATTGGGAGACAAAGCCTCCCCTGCCAGTAAACAAGGGTAATGGGTGCAGGTATCACTTCATGTCTTCTGATACACAGATGAGGAATGTGTCAGGTAACCAGTAATTAATTACAGAGAACACTGTTGTGTTTTTAGGCAAACCCACAGGGGTATTTTGTTATTGCAACTTCCCCATTCCCAGAGGGGAAGGGAATGACTGGAGCAGTAGTACCTCCTTCAGTTTGCTCTCAGGCCACAACTTGTGTGACTGAATCTGGGTTTGCAGACCTTGCAATACCCCGTGCTGATACAAACTATTCTGATTCCACTAGCTCAATGGGGCTTTTCCCATATAAGTGTTCCCACATACAAATTTTATTTTAACCGAGCTTTCTAAGCATATTGGGTTAAAATTTTTCCTTGGCAGTATCAGTGGACTTAACCTGAGCAGCAGCAGGGAGATGTGTGCAAACCTTTTGTATCTTTTTAGGAGTTGTTTATGTGAACAAGCCAGTCCCACCACTGCAAGAAAATCTCCCATCAACTTAAAATCCTCTGACTATACCCATGATCCAGCAAACCGAGTACAACAGAAAACGTAACTCATCATAGACAAAATGACAGGGAAAAATAAAGAACACAGGGCAGAACACAGCACAGAGCAACAGAAACACACACACAGCCAGGGCAGGGATCTGCACCGGGACACAGCCGGCTCACTGCCTCCCCCTGCTGAACCTCCTGGTACTTACAGAGAGTCCCAGAGCGGTTTGGGTTGGAAGGGACCTTAAAGCTCATCCAGTCCCACCTCCTGCCATAGGCAGGGACTCCTTCCACTAAACCAGGTTGCTGCAAGGCCTGTCCAGCCTGGCCTTGAACCCTTCCAGGGATGAGGCATCCACGGGTTCTCTGGGCAACCTGTGCCAGGGCTCACCAGTCACAGGGAAGAACTTCTTCCAAACATCCCATCTAACCCTGCCCTCTGGCAGTGGGAAGCCATTCCCCCTTGTCCTGTCACTCAAGGCCCTTGTCCAAAGTCCCTCTCCAGCTCCCTTGGAGCCCCTTTAGGCACTGGAAGGGGGTCTAAGTCCTCCCTGGAACCTTCTCCTCTCCAGGTGAACACCCTCAGCTCTCCCAGCCTGTTAATTATCCAGAGGAAGATGGTCTAAGTAATCAGTGCTGTTACTTCCATACACATTTAACACCCCCCAGCACCAGCTGTACCAATACCTGTAGCCCCTGGGTGCCAGCCAGGTGTTCTGCAGGTGTCTGAGTTATTCCACTGCCTCTGGAGCACTCAAAGCCCAATTCCTCTTTCCCAACGAGCGTGGCCAGTATGTGCCTTGTAAGCTCCCACCTCAGACAGGGTTGTGTTGCTCCCTTTCCCATCCCCTTCTCATAAATCTTGCATGAATTTGATGAAATCTCTTACTCCTCATCAAGTTTGACCCTGTTGGCTACTCTGAGCTCAGAATTAATGGGCAGCCAGATGGTGCAGTTACATAATCCTCCATTCCTGCAGAAGTCTGGCTAAGAAAGAGCTCCAGCCTGCCAGGTTTGTTAATATGTACATCCCTGGTTTTTGTAAGAGCAGAGCTACTGCTACCCAGGCATCCTCTTCCAGATTTCTGCTGACTGTGACAGATCAAGAAAACACACAGGACTAACTTTTTCAACTCACTTTCAAAAAGTTTTAGAAATAGGAAAAATTACTGAGAGTCCAGAAGTCTCCCAGGATAGAAAAATACTTCCCTTTAACAGAAACAGCTTTTCAACCAATTTCCAAGCCTACAGAATTAAGGATTTGCCTTCTGATCTAAGCAGGTGGTATTCCTCCCAACTAACAGCATTCCATCCCACAAGGATAAACAAAGAATAGGAAAGGGACATACTCTCCAAATTTTGTTATGGTTCCAGGGATAAGTTACTGTGCAAAACTCAAGTATTCCCAGTGCTTCTACTTTAAAATCCAAGGCATAGCTCCTGAAATGCCTCTAAAAAGTTCTATATTTGCTGAGGTTCATGTGGTGAGTGAGGAATCAAAGCTGTTTGTCAAACACCGTCTCAAGAGCTGCACACAAGGTTTAAAATGCTGAGTTACCTGCAAAGTTTTATTGACAGAGCAGGTTCTCCACAAAAAAAACCCCACCAAAGCCCTGGTTTCAGCACAGCAAGCATGGAGAGAAGTATGTCAGCAGGAATTAGGCTGGGGTTTATTGTGCACTGTGGCAACCCAGCATTATCTGCTATGTCCAAAAGAAAATCTCTTCAGGATCCCTCCCCAGCTCATTCAAAGTTAAGAAAGCTGAATTTCTGCTTATATTAAATAGTTAAAAAAAATGTAACAAACCCAACCCAACCAACCAAAACTACTACACCCCAAATCTTACACTCAGAGTTCTGGTCATTACAGGTAGTCCCTCAGAATTTCATGCCACAGGCACTTTTCTACCCGTTAAATCAGGCACAGCAAGCCTTGTGCAACACATGCCATCACAGATTTCAATGAACACACCAGAAATCCTTGCTTTTTTTTCCCTTGGAATTTAATGTGGTGCTTTCAGAAGGCCTAGAACACCAATTTGTGAGGATAGACTCCATTTGAGAGGCAGAAGGTGGAGCGCAGGTACCCACGGAGCTGAGGCACCTTCTTGATCCGGGCCAGGATCTGGGAATCCACGGCCTTCTGGTCTGCCTTGCGCTGCTCCGTCAGCTCGTATTTCTACAAAGCACAGAGAAGAACATGAAAATCCTGCACAATGACCTCAGAATCTTCTGCAGAGAGGAGAAAATTCAGGGAAAACCCTAAGTTTTGACATTCTCATGAAATCTTCATTTGTTCTAAATGAGGGGAATGGGGTGGGAGACCTGAGGTAGCTCAGCACTGAAGCCACTGTTTGGCTTATGCTGCTGGCAGGATCCAACCAGGAAAGGTGTTTCTCGCTCAAAAAAGAGATTTATATTTATTTATTTAACTGGAATAATCCCTGCTGCTGGTCTGCTGAGGTACAAGCAGAGAAGAATCCCCAAATTTAGCAGGGTTTTATCTCAGTGCTGTATTAATCTATTTTAATGGCATCACCTCATTTGATTAAGGGCCACTTAAAATCCAGCTGTTTGTTCCCTGCTATTCCCCCCTTGGAGCCTGGCCTGGGGTCACATGGGAATTCGGGATCAATGAATCACCACATCTCTTACTTCTTTTTCAGTGTCAAAGATCTCGCCTTCCTGGTGCTTGGGCTTCCGCAGCCTCTTCTTCTTGAAGTAGGAATCAGTGAGATGTTTGGGAATTTTCACTCCAGTGAGATCAACCTTTGTAGATGTGGCAATAACAAACTTCTGGTGGGCCCTACGCAGGGGGACACGGTTGACAACCAGGGGGCCTGAAGGCAGAGGGAAGAGAACAAAATCAGCTTTTTTGGTGAAAACGGTTGCTCTGAAGTTGAATTTTTGTAGTGTATGTGATGACTAGTTCCTTCAGAGATGCCTACAGCTAAAATCTGAACATTTAAAGCCCTTCCCCTCTAGAAATACCAAAAAATGCTTCCCGGTCTCTTCTACATAGTCAGATGCTGAAGCTTAATTATCTCCCCTCCACCTTCCAGCAAAGTCACAAATCCCAGAATCATTCAGGCTGGAAAAGACCTCCCCAGACCATGGAGTCCAATCTGTGACTCATCCCCACCTCATCACTTAGTCCAGAGCCCTGAGTGCCACGTCCAGTCATTCCTTGAACACCTCCAGGGATGGGGACTCCACCACAAAACGTGATTCCATGTTGTCCCATGAACACATGACGTGCCAAAGCACCCACATGCAGACTGGTTGTGCTACTGACCCCAGAGACAAACTTGAACTTGGTAAACCCACCCCAAACCCACTGAACCCCCAAACCAAACAAAAATATCACAAGTATGTAAATGTTTTTACCTGTAACCAGCAGAAGGCCAGTGTCCAGCTGCTTCAAGAAGACAACACGCTGTAAAGGAATGAGATGTGCCATCAGCTCTCAGGTGCCAGCACTCCAGTACCACAGCCAAACTGGGACTGTGCCCAACTAGGCCTGGTACTGGTACAGGCACTGACAGTGCTCCAGGTGTGGGTGCAGCTGTGCAACCTGAGGAATTGCCGCCCTGGGATCCAAACTACAGCACTTCCATGAGCACAGCTCTGCCAGGGACCTCCTCTGGGACTCTCCGTGTGCCTCATCACTCAAGGCAGAGCAAACCCAATTACTATGGTTTTACTCTTTGCCCATCCTACAGGATAGCAACAGCCATCCCATCCCCAAAATTCTTTATATGAATTAAAGGCAGGAACTGGATAAAACCCAGAAAGGCATCACAACATCGCACGGTCAGAGCCATCCCCCAGCTATGTCTTACTGTTTCTGGTCAAGTTTGCCTTCTCTGAACAACAACCTTTATGTAATGTGACATAAAGCAAGAATGTTCAAGAAAATAAAGGATGTAAAGGATGCTAGTTAACCATTATTAAGATGAAGTATAAAACATAACAATCAACTGTTACCTTAATAATTAGATTAAGAATGAAAATGTTATTCTTTCTTTGCAATAGCTACTAAAAGACTAAGTTTTGCCTTTGCTGCAACAGTAATATGACCTGGGTCTGCTGCTCTGCACTGCAGCAAGACTCCTTTAATTTTGTCTAAGCAACTGGATTAGCCTGTCCTACTCCCAGCTCTGTGCAGAAAAACACTAATTTAAAAAACATTTAAAATCTGCATCCCTTAACGGCCGGGCAAGGGAAGCATCCAGACACAAGCCATGGATTTGCACCCAGCGGCTGACCAGTGACATCAGCTGGTAGATCTGGGGTACCTCAGCTCCCTGTGGGGCTGGGGGGGCACCAGGGGGGCTCACCTTGCCGCGGTGCCGCCCGGTGAGCAGGATGAGCACCGTGCCCGGGGTGATGGAGGCGCGGAGCCGCCGCTTGTGCTCACAGAACGGCTTCTTGCCGTGGCTCAGCAGCTTGCGGGGCACGTCCTCCGTGGGGTAGTACCTGGGCTGAAGGGAGAGCAGCAACGTGGTTTAACACCTGCATTCCACACGGCAGAAACCCCTCACCAAGATTCTCTCTATTTCCCAAAGTTCAGCTTTCTAAAGGATTTGTTTCTGCTGCAGCCGGTGATAGGAACACACGGAGTGTTTCCTAGGCAACGGTGCACAGTGAAAGCTGCAGCCAGCTCTGTACTTCTGAGTGTGCTTCCACCTCAGCACAGCAACAGCACAGAAGCTGTTCGTGCCTACAACCATTCCCTAAATTCCCACCCTAAATTCCACCATCTCCCAAGAACCCTGGATCTGTATCTCAAGGTGAGCATTGCCAACAGTTCACCGAAACACAGCTGAGCCTGAGGTCCCTAAGCTGCCTCAGACAAGAGGCTCATCACCCAGCCCAAGGTTACCCAGAACAGCCCCAAACCATGAGCATCCCACTGCTTTTCCATACCATTTTCCGGATTTTAACCACCCGGCTGCCTCCGTTCTTGTCTCCACCCACTGGCTTAGTGATGGTGGCACGGGGCCTCTCCTTCTTCTTCTTTTCTATCTGTAGGCAAAGAACAGGGAGAACTCCTGACATTTCAAACCAAAGGCACCCCGGTGGCTCAAACACAGTGTTTCCTATCCCACCTTTGTCTCTGGAGCCGTGTACTTGCGCTTGTACAGGGCTTTCCTGGCGTACATGGCGGAGCGGGAATACCGCCCGATGCCGCGGGCCAGGACAGGGTTCCTGCTGGCATGGTGCTTCTTCACCCTCTTTTTCTTGTCCCCGGCTGCCTTTTGGCTCGGCTTCTGCTCCGGCTTCTTCTCTCCTGCCTTCTTCTTGGCCGGCTTCTTCTCCGCGGGCGCCTTCTCACCCGCCATCTGAGGATCACACAAACTAGGGCTCAGTACAAGGTGCGCACACTTCGAGTGACAGAAACAAAATAAAAGAATCGAAACGATCCCTTACACCTTTCTGACAGTTGTCAGCCGCCTTTACAGCCGCGGCTGAGCAACCACTGCTCCCTGCAAAACGCTGCTCCGCGCTAGTTACAACAGCGACGAGTTCACCGATCGCACCCAGCGCTGCTCGGTGGGGAGCCCGTGGACACACAAACACCCGCCTCTGTCCCGGGTGTTCACAGTCGAGACAGTCACGGACCAGCCCCGCTCAGCCCCAGTCCCGGCCCAGCCCAGCCCGTTCCCGCTTCTCCGGCGCGGCCTCCACATCCCGCCGCGGCCCGGCCCGCCCAGAGCCGCGACACGCCCGCTCCTCTCCCCCCGCCGCGCCCGTCACGGCCCCCCGCCATCCCCCGAGGGCTGCGGGCCGCGCCGGTGCCCGCTGGGTGCGCGGATGGCGGCGGATGGAGCGCGGGGCCCCCGCCGAGCCCTCGGAGCTCCGCCATCCTCACCTTCCGGGGGGGAAAGGGACCTACATCCGGGGCCGCGCGGGGTAACCCCAGCGCCGCGCGGGACGTCACCGCGCCGCGCGGAGCACCACGGGACTTGTAGTCCTGGAGCGCCCGCGCTGCCCGGGGCGGCCCCGTGGCACCGGGGAGGGGGCATCGCGCCCGCGCCCCCCCGAGCGCTGCGGGACCGCCGGCATGGGCGGGGGCCTCGCCGTGCCTCCGCCGCTTAACCTGCTCAGTTCGGGGCACGGCCCCCTCCGCGCCCTGCCCCGCGCGCGGGCGATACTGCGGTGGCTCCGTGCGGAGGTGCCGGGGGTCCCGCAGCCCCCCGTGCAGGGCGGCCCCGCGGGGCGGGGCGGGGCGGGCGCGGCGCGGGGCGATGACGGCGCGGGCGGTGACGCGGGGCGGGCCGCGCCGCGCTCGCCGCGCTCCGGGGCCCGAGGCCGCCGCTGTTCGCGCTCCCCGCAGGCCCCGCCGGGACCCCGATGTGAGCGGCGGGCGGGCACGGGCGGCCCGGGCACCGCCACCCGCCGGGGCTCCGCGGGAAGATGACATCGCGGAGGTGAGGCGGGCAGGGGGAGCGCAGGGGCCACTGAGCCTCGGGGAGCCTCCGCCACCGCGCCCGGGGGGCTGCGGGCACGGGGGGGTTCCCCAGGAACGGGCGGGATCCCCGGGACACGCTCCGGCGGCGCCCATCCTGCTCGCTCCCGGGGGGATGTCCCTGCTCCCGCACCCCCCACCTCCCACCCTGCACGTTCTCGGAGGGATCCCCCCGCTCCTGCACCCCCCACCCCGCCCGTTCCCGAGGGAATCACCCTGCTCCTGCACCCCCCAACTCCCACCCCTCCGTTTCCCGTGGGAATGTCCGCGCTCCCGGCCCGTTCGCGGGGAGATCCCCCTTCTCCTGCGCCTCCCACCTCTCCCGTTCCCGGGAAGTTCCCCCGCTCCTGCACCCTCACCCCCGCCCATTGACGGGGGGATGTCCGGGGGAAGGCGAGGCGTCCATGTAGCTTCAGTAGCCGGAGCTGCCCCGGTCCCACCGATTTCGGGGGTTCAGAGGGGTCTCCCCACGTTCCCGTGAGTTGAGAGATAAATTCATTGTGTGTGGCACCCACCCAGTGCCGGGGCCGGGGGGACTCGTGTTGCCATCACGGGACAGGCACTGGGGACTTCCAGATCCTCAGAGGTGACCCAGCTGTACAGTGAGTGTTCCTGAGCCCCCTCCCTGGGCTCCTCGTTTGTCATCAACACTCACGTTAATTTCAAAACCCTGTGGAGCTGAAAACCACAATGATAAACAGCTTTTTTTTTTGTTGTAGCTTCTCAGTATCCCTAAGGTAATCTGGTGTTTGTCTGTCAGTAAGTGTCCTTTGTGGCTGAGAGGTTTAGGTGAATATTAGACTTGAGAGGAATTACTGTCATGGAAAAGAATATAAACGTCTTTGTCCTTTTTAATACCCATTCTGAGATTCACAGAACCACTGAATGGTTTGGGTTGGAAGGGACCTTAGAGCTCATCCCATTCCACCCCTTGCCATGAGGGTTTCCACTACACCAGGTTGTTCCAACCCCCCTTGAACACCTCCAGGGATGGGGCAGCCACAGCTTCGATTGATTCACCTCTTGAATTCACCTCTTTTAATAAGTAATACCTATTAAACTCTAATTTCTTCATGGTGACTTGTCCTCTTTCTTGTCCTGCTTAAGAAGGTGGATCTGTATGGATTGGGTTCAATGCATGGCCCTTTATAGTTGGATTTGGGTTTTTTTTGGACGTATGTAGGATCTCCAGTGCATGTTGGGTGTTCTGGATGGCCCTGCTGACAACTTGTATCCTTCCTGGCAGAACAAGGATACAAGTTACCTTTTGGAAACACTTTTGGAAACACTGCTTCTGCTCAGAGCTTGAAATTGTGACTTGTGAGGGAGACTGAAAAAAAAGCTGAGAAATATCAACTGATGAGCCTAAAAATAGGAGTAATTAACCCACCCATCAGTGGCTCCCGAGTGCTGGGGCTGTGACAGCTGAGACAGGACTGATTTCATCTCTCCTGCTCTTGGAAAGGTGATTAGAAAAACCCAGTGCCAGCATGGAAAATTGTATTGATTTCTCTCTTTTTCTCTCTTCATTTGGTAAGAGGGAATGTGCTGGCAGTGTGGGACTCGGGGAGCACGGATCCTGCTGGTCTTCTCTGGACCACGATTACAAAAAAAGGGATAATTGTGGGAAGGCTGGATTTCCTACCGTGAATTATTTTTCATCAAAAGGTTCCTTGCTTAGCTGATGCCCCTGAGTTTTGTAAATGGGACCCTGCTCTTTTACCAACTTTGTAAATTAATAAGGGACTGGGAATGGTGTGTTCTGACCCCTGACTTGGAATTGCTACTGGGAATGATGGTGAGGAGCCAGTTTAATCAGAGTGTGGGTTTGTGTGTGTTGTGTTACTCCTGTGATTGTATTTACTGCCCTTGGCTGGGAGAGCTCTGCACCTGCTGCTGGGGGAGACTGGAGAGGGAAAGCAGGATAAAAAGCCCCAAATACATTCCATCCCTATAAAAGGAAGTGCAGGAGAAGGTCCTGGCTGGGGGTTGTGTTACTGGGGGGTGTGTGCTCTCTCCTCCAGTTTTTTTTTTTTGGAAGGGATGCAGCCCAAGGTTCAAAGGACACATGTGGTGGCAGCACTTCAAATGCAGATCCTGGTCCCGGGGCCGGAACCGCCGAGCAGGGATCACTGACACCCCCATTTTTCTATTTGGGGTGCCTGACAAATGCACCTTCCTACTCAAAGCCAAAAATACAGAGATGAGGGAGCAGGAGGACAAGTTGCCATCAGAACCAAAGTTATATAAAGTGCAATAAAACCTGTCACCCTCCCAGGTGGAGCTTGGCTTTGCTACTTGGCTTTGGCATCTTCAGTAGGAATTGCTTTGTGTTTGGGGGTGAGATTTGAGGTTTTACACAGTGTATCATCTTTTTAACCTCTCCTTTAAATACTTGTTAAATAACAAGTTATTTGTGGTCCCCTCTGTGCATTAAAGTATTATTTTTCTTTTTTTTCCACATCTTTTTAACAGCTCGTGTACACTTACTTCCAGATGCATTAGAATTTATAAGATACAGAAGATACTCTATTAATTAAAGTTTATGGAATGTCACCATATAATAAACCTGGAAAACTAATTCCAATAATTCTTCCTTTGTATGTTTATATATTTTTTTATATGAACTCAAAAATTTGCAAAGTTTTTCCTTGAATCTTGTGCATATTTAGAAAGCTTGTGAACTGTTCAAAATGTTGCTGCACTTTTTTTGTGTAGATTTTTTTTGTTTTCTCCTAATGAAAGTAAAATTTTGGGAATGGAAGTGTTGTAAATATATCATCAGCTATTACCTGTCATGCTGAAATATATTATTTAATGTTCATTTCACCCCAGGTACTGATGCTTGTGTGGTTTGGTTTTCGACACTGCATCAAACCAGACCTTTTCTTGACCTTTGAATAGTCATTACGTAAATGTAGCATTATTAATTAATTCATCCCCACCTGCTGTGATAACTTGGAAGTATTTTAATATTTTCTCCTGTCCCATGCTGCATAGTTTTGATTTTTCTGTTATTTTTCAGTGCAAAATAGGGAATTTTCACTAGATTTTCTCAGTGTAAGCAGAATATTATTAACTAGGCAAAAAAGGCAAGGTGAACAAGAAGAATAATTTACTTAATAAATATAATTAATTAATAATATTCTAGAATCTCTAAAGCTCTTCAGAATGTTTCCATGAAAATCCATTTCTGAAGAGAACAGGCTGGATGAAGCCTTGGTGGGAATATTGTCAGCTTTTCAGTAGAGAAGGAATTGCTGAAGCAATTGAATTAATAGTCCTAAATTTAGATTTGCACTCTCATATTTTGCTGATTTAGCAATTTTGCATGAAATGCTGACTGGATCAGGAAGGCTCAGGAATGCTATGGAATTTTTTGTAGCTATAACACTCCTATATCTGTAAAGAGACTGGTTATGGAGTCTTCTGGGTTACTTTGGAGAAGCCAAAACTTTCTGTACCAAGAGCAGCAACCTCAGTTCTTCCCGCTCAGTAGAAGGAGAGAAAGGAAAAGGGATGAGGATTTTCCTGATTTAATTCTGAAAATTAAAGGTGGTCTCGTAATTGCCAAATACAATTGTGACAAAGCCTTTCATCCAGAGCACAGGGATGTTGTTTAGTGCTCCAGGAGTGTAATGAAACTTGGGAATTCCGGCTAAGAGCAAAGGCAGGTGTGTCATGGAACAGCTCCGGATGAGTCTGTCCGAAGTTAATGCCAGAGGTGGGACATGGATCCTCTTGGCCACAGCCCAGATCCAGCCTTGGCTCTGTGTTAGTCATTCAGGGCCCTTTGTGGGTGGTGAAGATCAATCTGAGATTCCTCTGGGGTTGTATTTAAGTGGGATTTATCCGACCCCAGCACCGCATTCTTTGGCGAAGGTGGAAGAGGAGTAGGTTGTTCTCAAGTGGAGTCGCTT